GAGCTCGGTTTTGGAGAGGTTCAATTTTAAGGAAGTGGAGTGACATCCAGTCTGATATGTCATTTAGTAGGTTTGTGATTCGGGCGGAGAATGAGGGGGTGAGGCAAGGAGTTGAGAGATAGATTTGTGTGTCGTCGGCATAGAGGTGGTAGTTGAAGCCGTGAGAGTGTATGACTTGGCCAAGGGAGGAGGTGTAGATGGAGAAGAGAAGGGGCCCGAGGACGGAGCCTTGAGGTATGCCAACAGAGAGGGGGAGTGAGGGGGAGGTGGTAGTGTTATAGGTAACGCTGAAGGAGTGTTGTGATAGGTAGGACGAAAGCCAGGAGAGAGCGGAATCTCTGAGGCCGAGGGAGTGTAGTTTTTTTGAGGAGGAGCGGAACTGAAGGCCGCGCGAGAGGTCGAGGAGTAGTGAATAGTGGCCATTAGCTTTGGCGGTGAGAAGGTCGTTGGAGAGTTTGAGTAAGGCAGTTTCGGTGGAGTGTAGGGGACGGAAGCCGGACTGTAGGGGATCGAGGAGGTTGTTGTCGTTGAGGTGAGAGCTTAGGCGATTGTAGACAAAGCGCTTGAGGAGTTTGGATGTGATATTACCCCCCCCCCCCCCCCCACCCGCCTGGCTAGTCTGCAGTGTCCATACTGACTTTACATCTTTTCAGTCTTTTGCTCTGTATCTTGATCTACAGTGTATAGCCCATTACCTCCACATTGTGTGCAGGGGTGGCCAGCTTTCATCAAATGCCCTAATGACACAAGGGCCCCAACACAGCTGGAAGAGGATCCATACTGAGGGCTGTATATAGTTCATTAATTTATTTTTTACCATTTCACACTGTTCCAATTTTCAGAGAGAGAGAGAGCCTAGGCCTAGCCCACCCATCATTGGTACACTCAGACATATTAGCTGTATATTCTTTCTACATTAACCATCTGTTGTCGTACACTTGTATGGAAACTACAGTTTATGCTTCACATGTAAAAGTTTACTTCTTATTATTACTGCACATGGTCAGTGAAATGCACGTTACTACATACTGTACTGTTCTACTCTGTACATAAAATATGCTGTTACCTACTGTATAGTCTTAAATTTAATTACAGAGTGACCTTAAGGTACTGCAAAGTTTGCAAATCCAAGCTGCCAAAGGTGATATAACCTAAGGTGTTACAGGGGTTGAGGTTTGCTACATAGCGAGATGAAAACAGAGGACACAACACTATTAGCAAAAGCATGGTCAGACAGATAGACATCTGAGGTTAAAAATAAAAGGCTGCAACACACTCCTCTTCTTTGACCCTGTCCCCTGCAGTAAATGTCATCAGTCTTCCCTGGATGTCAATTAACCACTTCCCGACTGCCCTACAGCAGAAGAACTGCTACAAGACGGCAGGGATGCACAAAATCATATATCCCCACCCGTGCTGCTATTGACTCCTCAGCATGTCAATCACCTGGTCCTAGGCCACCAATTCTTGGCCAGGACTCAGTGATCGTAGGTGGAGCTGACAGGGGAAAGGTCTCTTTGTAAACAACACACGTCTCTCCCCTGCCAGCACTGACATGCTGCTTTGTATAGCTTTGCACATCAGAGCAATACAAAGCAGCATGTTTATACAGTAAAACACACACAGCACACTGTCAATCCTTTGATCACCCCAGATGTTAACTCCTTCCTGCCCAGTGTCATTAGTACAGTGTCAGTGCATTTATATTAGCACTGATCACTGTATTGGTGTCACTGGGGATGTAAGTGGCAGTTAATCAGTTCCCCCCACTGTCAGAATGTCCGCAGTCCCACTATAAGTCGCTGATCCCCGCCATTATTAGTATTAAAAAAAAAGTCCAGTATATATACCACCATTTGTAGACGCTATAACTTTCACATTAACCAATTAATTTCCATGTATTGAGATTTTTTTTAGCAAAGACAGGTAGCAGGGTACATTTTGGCCTAAATTTATGAAGAAAATTTTATTTTTAATATTTGTTACTGGATATGTTTTTTATAGCAAAAAGTCAAAAATATTGTTTTTTTTTTTTCAAAATTGTTGGTCTTTTTTTGTTTATAGTGCAAAAAAAAATGCTCAGATGATCAAATACCACCAAATGAAAGTTCTATTTGTGTGGAAAAAAGGAAATAACGTAAATTTCGTTTGGGTGCAGCGTTGCATGACCACGCAATTGTCAGTTAAAATAATGCAGTGCCATATCGCAAAATATCCAGGTCAGGAAGGGGGGTAAATCCTCTGGAGGGCAAGTGGGTAAGGAGTAGTAAATTGAAAATTCTTCCTGCGCCAAAGAAACTACTACAGGATCTACCCTGCTGCTGTGCAATGTGATGAAACACACAAAATGTGACAATTATAAATAAACAGCGCAAACATAGACCTCTAAATATAATCAATCTATAAAGTGCATAATAATACTAAATATATCATAAATAATATTAATAGTGAAAGTCCATCATAATAATAGACACCAAAAGTTTGTGAATCACAAAAAATTCGTGTAGAGATAAGAAATCCAGAAATTCTTCAGATGCAAAGAAAACTTCCACCTTCTACCCGTGCAAACCAACATCAATTACACTCACCAGATTTTGGTGAATAAAACGCCTTTTAGGGATTTAAAGGGATCCTAAGCCCTCTTTCGTATCCACTCTATAGGATTCCTCACCATCAGAAAAGGCTCCACCATTCAACCAGGGAGAAAAAAATCTCAGATAGTATGATATTGCTAATTGCTACTTTCAATAAAATCAAAGATTAAGGCCACTCACATTTCAACCACTTTAAAAAGGCACATTTATTGAAACAACCTCTTCCAGATGGAAAATGAGTGATATACAGCCTCATCAGGAATCTCACATCACAGCTCCAGGGTACAGCAGAAGCTCCACAGAGAAAACCATGCACGGGGTCTATACCCCGTACGTCTGACGTCACTTCCGGTGAGTGGAACGCACGCTGAGCGGTGCGTTCCAGCGGCCATCTTTTGGGATCTGTGCATGGTTTTATTAAACTTTATTGTAATAGTCAAGCACATAACAGCATCCCAAACTTGGAGGTATTCAAGCCCAAGTTTCATTTAAACCAGATTCAGATTCAGATGAACTGATTCAGATAAATCGATTCATACATAGGTCAGTTTTAAAGACCTATACAAGTTTTTGTTTGGGCAGTGATCAATACACAATTCAAATTATGCTTTGATAAAAATAAATTATCATTAAACCTGATCAAAACAGTAATTCAGTTTGGGAACTGCAGAACTAACACAAAAATAGATATTCAGATGGAAGGGGTTTTAATATCAAAAGAGTTAATGAAATTAAATTTCTGGAAGTGATAATAGATGATCAAACCTGTTGGAGATCACATATTAAGCATGTGCAGTCCAAAATGTCCAAAAGTATAGCAGTATTATGTAAGGTAAAGCAGGTTCTGAATTACAAATCACTCCAATATTTTAGATTGTTCAATAGTTCTTCCTTATCTGAAATAGTGTTTGTGGCAATAATTATATAACTAGAATATATCCATTAATCACATTGCAAAAGAAAGCAATACAGATCATTTATGGGGCAGGATATAGGGAACACACAACTCCTTGTTCTTACGGTTACAACTTATAAAATTGAAGGATATGGTGCAATTACAGACTGCACAAATAATATTTAAGGCAATTTATTACCAGGAAATATTCAAAAATAATTTATTGTAAGGGAGGGGGTTATAATCTAAGGGGAACATTAAATTTTAAGAATATGACTGTGCAGACAGCTAGGAAAAGCTTCTGTATTTCCATTTGTGGAGTGAAACTGTGGAACAGTTTCAATGCGGAGCTTAAGAAATGTCCAAACATAAACCAGTTTAAAAAGAAGTATAAATAGATGAATTTTACAAGGTATAATGAAGGGGTTTGAATTATTTATTTATTACAGGTACTTGTATAGTGCTGTCAATTTATGTAGTGCTTTACATATACTGTATATTATACATTCACATCAGTCCCTAACCCTCAAGGAGCATACAATCTAAGGTCCCTAACTTACATTCATACATATACATACTATAGTCAATTTAGACAGGATCCAATTAACCTACCAGCATGTCTTTAGACAGTGGGAGGAAACTGGAGTACCCGGAGGAAACCCACACAGGCACAGGGAGAACATGCAAACTCCAGGCAGGAGATGCTGTGGCTGGGATTTGAACCAATGACCCTAGTACTGGCAGGCAGAAGTGCTAACCATTTAGTTACTGTGCTGCCCTATTATTGTGTGTTTACTATTTGCTTATTAATGTTGTTGTTGATTTATGTTTTGTATTATCTTCAGTTTTGTCTGAGTGTATATGTGCATGCATGCATATATGTGTGTATGTGTGTTTATCCATATGTATGATTGTAAGCAAGATTATTGGCAATTAGTATAATATATCTGAATTATTAATTATTGAACAACTTTATAGTGATGGGTCTCTGAATAATTTATTATTAATTAAAGCAGAGCTTCACCCAAAAGGAGAAGTTCCACTTTAAGCCTTTGTCCCCCGCTCCCCATTAAGGATTGGCACCTTTGGGGAGAGGGTACCCGAATTTGACAGGTACCCCCTCCCACTTCGGCTGCGATCACCTAGGCGATCGGAAGCGGAAGTCCCCCGTCCCCCCCCCCTCCCTGTAGTCTTCTGGGACACGTGACAGGTCCCAGAAGGCTACAGGGCCATTCACAAAGCGCACTGTTTCTCGCACATGCTCAGTGGGCACCCGGCTGTGAAGCCGCAAACTCTACAGTCGGGTGCCCACACTGAAGAAGTCGGTGCAAGGGGAGAAGACGGGCGGTGAAATCAGCAGTGGTGAAGACACCTTTGGACAGAGGCATAGGTAAGTGGCTGTATTTTAAAAGTCAGCAGCTACAGTTTTTGTAGCTGCTGATTTTTATTTTTTTAGGTGGAACACCGCTTTAACCTCCCTGGCGGTATTCCCGAGTATAGCTGGGGTAAAGTTTCAGTACCAAAAGTGGCAACCTCAAGCTACACTCGGGCTTACCATGTGGCGTTGCTTAGGGATTCCCTGCAGCACTTACCTTTTCCTTCGCTCCCGCGCTGCGTCCCCTGCAGCGTCCCCGGCCATCTCCTCCGGCCAATGCATGCATCCGGCTTCTGTGTTCCGGTCTCTGTGAGCATCGGGACGTACGGGCGCCGGAACGGACGGCAAATTTTAAAATTTTAAAAACTGTAATTTTTATATAAACGAATATTACATAGTAAAACATTACTGTATCAAACCATTTCACATACATTTTGTCCCCGAGTGCTTTGTCCTGTGCCCTGCCTGCATTTTGACTGTTCTTTCTGCCTGGAAACTTGAAAAAGTCCATGGCGTCCAAAAAGCGTCCCTTTAGGTCAAAAGTGGTTTTAGACCAGCTAGAGAAAAGCGATAGTAAATCAGAACCACTTGCAGAATTGAGTGATGATTCGTGGGGAAAATCGTCATCAGACACTGAAAATGATTTTGCGACTTTGCTCAGCGATGTGCGAACTTGGCGCTATATTTCAAATTTCAGTGTTTTTGGTTTGATTATAGTATTGAATTAAATGTATTATTATTTTTTTATTTTTTATGATTATGTATTAAATTATAATTTATGATTTCGTGTTTCAAGTTTTATTCTACCCGAACATTTACTAGACTCTTGTTCGGACAGATTTCAGTGAGTTATTCCTAAAAATTACAGGCCTACAATAAAAAAACAACATATTTCCATGCAAAAAAATGTACCGCTTTCAGCACAGAAATATGGATATATTCAGACCGCAGGGAAGGTTAAGGAGAAGGTGTGGGATTAAATAGGTTTGTATTTCTTCCCACTCCTTTTCAGGAATGTACATTGTTTTTCTAGCTGTTCATCTTCTCTTTTAAATAGTTGTTTTGTGACTGTGTACTACTGTATGATTACTTCTTATATTTTTTATGTTTTTTATTTTTACATCTTTGAAATAAACTAAACTAAATTAAACTAAGTAGGGAAACAATATAGGCAATAAACAATATGCAAATAGAGAGCATTTAGAACAAGTAGACAAGGTGTATATATGAAAAACCTATTGACATATTACCAATAACAAGATGGGATGTCTACAGCCAAGCTCCTGGAAGCCAGGGGTGATGTTAGAGTACCCAAGGGGATAGTTAACCCGGGAGAGGATATCGACAGTGGTCCCCTGAGCAATCCCAGAGAAGGGGCTCCACAGAAATGAGTTCTGTCTACTGATAACCTCTGCAGCATGGGTCCTCCCTGCCTGGTCCTCGTAGATGTAGTGGGTCCAGGAGGACCAGGGTCTTGTGTTACTGTACAAAGGGAGACCACCGAGCACTATTGAAGTCCGTCAATTAAAAAGATATTCCATTTAATCCTTTAAATTTTTCAGTAGTTTGAAATTGTAACCAACTGGACCAAGTATATGTCAATTTAGAGGAGGACTCACACACACTAAGGATGTTTTTTTAATTGTTTTGAAGTGTAAGAAGACAATGACTTTCCTATGTCCTGTCTGTGTAAATAACTAATGCTGACTGTGGGAACAAGGAAGAAGTGGGGAGGGTCTACCAAGGACTAAACCAACTAGCACTAAACAGGATGGGAAGGCAGAGAAAACCACCTCCTAGATGTCAGCATATAACAAAAAATGATAACCTCATGCATTTTAATACAAGACATAAAACGTACAAGAAGTGGGGCAGAACAGACATGATTTATTATAAATAAAGAGAAAGTGCTCCTGCGCTTACGGATATTTTCACTCAACAACACACAAACTAGACCTGACTGCAGCAGTCTTCTAATTGTGTAAAATTATCACAAAAAAATAAAATTAAAAAACAGATGAACCGCGCATGGTCATAAACATGTGCATAGTTTAGACATATAAACCAGTCCAATAATCAGTGTAAAAGAAAGTGCTCGTGCTTGTGTTCAACTTGTTTTCAATATCCTGATTGATGCTCCATTGTGCTCAACAAAAGTGCCCCACATGGACTGACACTCACGCTCATTCCATGACCATCTATCTCTAGAGTGGTCATTAATGCTTTGTGGGACAATCCCAGTAAGCCAATGGTCCCCGGATCCTTTAGCCTGTAATCATCTATCCTTAAAGCGGTCCGTGACTCAGGTCATCTGCTCCCAGGTTAGGCCAGGTTCCTATACACCAGGTGTCACATGGTCTGGTCACGTCTGTGTTAGATTCTCTGGGTCCCTTGGTATGTATCACCACTTGAGGTCATCTCGTTTGGGGCATGGTTTTACCTGATTTTTACCTGATGAGACAGGAATAATCTCAAATGCATGTTTAAAATGCACTTCTGGTGAGTGCGCACTTTGCTTATTCAGACACATCATCTGTCACCCCCGGATCAGATACCCATACACGTTGATTGTGATCTTATGAGATCCTCACATTCTGCATTATTATTTGGGACAATTTTTCACTATTACAGTCACCACGTGGTGATACTTTACCTTGCACTTTTATATTTATTGATGCACTTTACATATATGTATATTGCACTTTATTAATTTATTTCTATCTATATACACATAAATGTTGTATACGCCATCCTAGCGCTGCACCTATTGTATTGAATTATATGAATATACACTCACAAGAAAAGTACCTATAGCCCGGCACCTGGTGTACTCACCCTTGTTGTAAATCAAAGATGGAAGCTGCTGTTCTGATTGTTCCTCGGAGCAGCATGCATTCTACAGGGTGGATGTGACGTCAGCAGAAGTTGAGTCATCAAACCTCAACGCTTTTGATCAAAGATCATCTTCAGGAAGTGCAAAATCTGCCATTTTGGTAATGGTACTGGAGGTGATCTCACATGGTTAGAGAGATCTCAAAAAACAAAAGGTAGTGGATATATGTGCTCCAAACTTTAATGCCAGAAGGGTTAAATATTAAGATAGATTTAAGCTGCTTCCTGACAGACTTTTAGAGAGCGTATACTGTAGAGGTTATTCTAAAAAAAAAAATTCCCTTCCTTTCTTTTCATATTTTTCTTTATATTTTTTCATTTTATTTTCATGTTTCCATTTCATTTTTATTTTAGATTATTATTCTTTGTTTCCCTCCTTTTTTCTTCAAATTGATTTTATAAAGGTATAAACAAAGTGTGAGTTTTAGGAATCGTTTTAAAGTTGACTATATTATTTGAGGTGCCTCCCTTGCAGGAGATGTCCCCTAGGAGTCACTAGTAAAGGTCCATTTAGTGTATTTTTATTATTATATTTATTGGTTACATTTGAGTTAGTAATAAGTATGCGACCTAGTACATTTTAGTATTGAATGTGGATACCTTCCATTTTTGAGGTGCTTCCCCTTTCAGGGGTCGTCACCTAGGATATACCAGGGAAGATTCACTTAGTTTTATCATTTAATATTTATTTATGAGTAAGATTAAATGTATATTAGTAATGAAGAGTTTGCAGCCCAGTTTGATGTAACACTGAATGTACTCAGCAATATTGTGGTTGATTTCCAGCAATTAACTATCTGGCTCAAGGGTATAAACACCATTACCAAAATGGTGGATTTTGCACTTCCTTAAGACGATCTTTGATCGAAACACATTGAGGTTTGATGATGCAACTTCCGCCGACGTTACATCCACCCTGTGGCATGCACGCTGCTCCGAGGAGCGATCAGGTCAGCGGCTTCCATCTTTGACTTACAACAAGGCTGAGTACACCAGGTGCCGGGCTATAGGTACTTTTCTTGTGAGTGTATATTCATATAATTACCCCTAATAAAGGTACCAAGCAATTTTACACTATGGGATGTTCCCTTCTTTTTTTCATATATGGTGACACATTCCTTTGCTGCTTGCGGAGCTGTGGAGACAGCGTGTGTTTTTGGAAATTGTTCCTTAAATGTCACGGACCACCTTAAGGATAGATGATTACAGGCTAAAGGATCCGGGGACCATTGGCTTACTGGGATTGTCCCACAAAGCGTTAATGACCACTCTAGAGATAGATGGTCATGGAATGAGGGTGAGTGTCAGTCCATGTGGGGCACTTTTGTTGAGCACAGTGGAGCACCAATCAGGACATTGAATACAAGTTGAACACAAGAACGAGCACTTTCTTTTACACTAATTATTGTACTGGTTTATGATATGTCTAAAATATGCACGTTTATGACCATGCGCGGTTCATCTGTTTTTTTTATTTTATTATTTAGCATGCATGCTTCCAAAATGAAAAATGTATCCAATACGCCACTCTAAGGACCAGTATCTGTTATGTAAGAGTCAGGAGACAGAAAAGTCAGATGATAGAAGAGTTATATATTTGTTCAGCACGGTGACTTCATGATCTAAATAGGTGGTAAAGTAATAGAACAACCATCTTGATATAATCTGCCTTGTATGGCAGTTCAAACCTTTTGTGTTGAGAAAGTGGAAATGCTAACAACAAAAAGTGGTGTTCATATTTGCCCAGAATCTCTCATACTGTACATAATCTACGATGGTACAAATCAAGGTGCTTTTATTTGTGGAAAAATTGAATGTGGATATTGTTTGATTTTTTTTTACAGCATATGAATATATTACAAGCTAGTAACCAAAGACTCCAGTGAGCGAGTTTCATGAAAAGTCTTGTGAGTGACCTGATCCTGGTTCTCCACCTGGCTTTCCTTAGGGACTGTGGATGAAATCTATCAGTGTGTGACACTATAAGGTCTTATTCCATCACTTCACCAATCCATTAAAAAATGCTGTTCTGGAAACTTAACCTGGCCCAAAGCAATATTGAAATGCTGAACCCTAATGAACACTTCATTGTGTGAGACAGACCTTGAGTCAGCATTGGTCTTATCTTCAGTAAAGAAGAATTGGCGAAAGACATGGAAGCTGCTTCCAAATATCCTCAGACAATAGCTGAAAAAATCACTTTGTGTTACTTGGTGATGGAATTACATGTAATGTACTGGCTATGGATAGCAACCAAATGTATTAGCCAAAATAACACTTGAGACACTGAAGAGTAGCAGTTTACTTGGCATAGTGATGGAAACATCACCTGGACAAAGGATGACTTTCTCTTCTTCCCTAGATTCCTAAATCCAACCTATGGGCAGTGTTATGGACGCAGGAGTGAAAACTGGCCTATATGTATTATCATAATACACTGCTCAAAAAAATTAAAGGAACACTTTTTAATCAGAGTATAGCATCAAGTCAATTATACTCCTGGGATATTGATCTGGTCAGTTAAGTAACAGAGGGGGTTGTTAATCAGTTTCAGCTGCTTTGGTGTTAATACAATTAACAACAGGTGCACTAGATG